ACCTCTCTCCTTCACTGCACCTGGAGGCCTGGGGGAACTCCAGCAGTCTGGGCGCAGATATCCAGAGTCCTCCAGACACGCAGAGAGGCCGGTGAGGGCACCCAAGATCTGCCCAGGTCCTCCTCTGCAGACCTATGGCCAGGCGCGGCAGCTAAACAGGCTGGGCTAGGCTGGTAGTGTGGGCCAGCCCACCTATGGGGAGCTCAGCAGGTCTCCAAGTGAAGCCGGGAATGGGGAGGCTGATGTGGAAGCCTCAAACCCACCTCTCTCCTTCACTGCACCTGGAAGCCTGAGGGAACTCCAGCAGTCTGGGCGCAGATATCCAGAGTCCTCCAGACATGCAGAGAGGCCGGTGAGGGCACCCCAGATCTGCCCAGCTCCTCCTCTGCAGGCCAGTGGCCAGGCTCGGCAGCTAAACAGGCTGGGCTAGGCTGGTAGTGTGAGCCAGCCCACCTATGGGGAGCTCAGCAGGTCTCCAAGTGAAGCCGGGAATGGGGAGGCTGATGTGGAAGCCTCAAATCCACCTCTCTCCTTCACTGCACCTGGAAGCCTGAGAGAACTCCAGCAGTCTGGGCGCAGATATCCAGAGTCCTCCAGACACGCAGAGAGGCCGGTGAGGGCACCCCAGATCTGCCCAGCTCCTCCTCTGAAGACCAATGGCCAGGCGCGGCAGCTAAACAGGCAGGGCTAGGCTGGTAGTGTGGGCCAGCCCACCTATGGGGAGCTCAGCAGGTCTCCAAGTGAAGCCGGGAATGGGGAGGCTGATGTGGAAGCCTCAAACCCACCTCTCTCCTTCACTGCACCTGGAAGCCTGGGGGAACTCCAGCAGTCTGGGCGCAGATATCCAGAGTCCTCCAGACACGCAGAGAGGCCGATGAGGGCACCCCAGATCTGCCCAGCTACTGCTCTCGAAGGCTTTTTCTGCATCTATAGAAATGATCATGTGATTCTTATTTTTGGCTTTATTGATATGGTGGATTACATTTATTCAATTGCGTATGTTGAACCATCCTTACATTCCGGGAATGAATCCCACTTGGTCATGGTGTATAATCTTCTTGATGATTTGCTGGATCCTATTTGCCAATATTTTATTGAGGATTTTTGCATCTGTGTTCATTAGGGAGATCGGTCTATAGTTCTCTTTTATAGTTGGGTCTTTCTCAGGTTTTGGTACTAGAGTAATATTTGCTTCCAGGAATGACTTAGGAAGGATTGCTTCCCTTTCAATTTCATTGAATAGTTTGAGGAGTGTCGGCATTAGGTCTTTGTATTTCTTGTAGAATTCTGCAGTGAATCCATCTGGGCCTGGGCTCTTCTTGGTGGGTAAGGACTTAATTACATTTTCAATTTCAGTAACAGAGATTGGGTTACTCAACAGTTTTACATCCTCTTGATCTAGCTTTGGCACTTCATATGCTTCTAAGAATCTGTCTATTTCTTCTGTGTTATCAAACTTTTGAGAGTAGAGGTTTTCAAAATAGGTGTTGATGATGTCCTGTATTTCTATTGGGTCTGTAGTGATTTCTCCTTTTTCATTTCTTATTGCATGAATTTGAGCTTTTTCTTTCCTTTTTTTAATAAGGTTGGCTAGGGGCTTATCGATTTTATTTATTCTTTCAAAGAACCAACTCTTTGATTCGTTGATTCTTTGGATTGTTGTCTTAGTCTCTATTGCATTGATTTCTGCTCTGATTTTTATAATTTCCTCTCTTCTTTTGGCTTTGGGCTTGACTTGCTCTTCTTTTTCTAGCTGTTTGAGGTGTAGCATCAAGTTATTTATTTGTATTCGTTCTGTTTTCCTGATGTGGGAACTCAGTGCAATAAATTTTCCTCTCAGAACGGCTTTCATTGCATCCCACAGATTCCGGTAAGTTGTATCTGCATTTTCATTTTCTTTTAGGTATTGTTTAATTTCTTCTTTAATTTCTTCTGTGACCCACTGATTACTCAAGAGTGTGTTATTTAGTTTCCATGTGTTTGTGGAATTTTTGCAGTATCTTTTGTCATTAATTTCTAATTTCAGAGCGCTATGATCCGATAATATGCAAGGGATGATTTCAACTTTTTTGCATTTGCTTAAATATGTTCTGTGAGCTAATATATGGTCTATTTTAGAAAATGATCCATGTACTGCTGAGAAGTATGTGTATTCTGATGTTGTTGGGTGGAACATTCTGTATATGTCTATCAAACCCAGTTGTTCACAGTGTGATTCAGTTCTGTTATTTCTTTGCTCATTTTCTGTCTGGTTGATCTGTCCCTTGGTGTCAGTGGTGTATTAAGGTCTCCTGTTACAATTGTGTTACTGATAATTTGAGTTTTCATTTCTGTTAATAATTGTTTTATATAACTGGGTGCTCTGGAGTTTGGTGCGTATATATTTAAGATGGTTATCTCTTCCTCTTGGAGTTTTCCCCTTACAAGTATGTAGTGACCTTCTTTGTCCTTTATGGTCATTGTTGGTTTAAAGTTCACATTGTCTGCAAACAGAATGGCTACTCCTGCCTTTTTTTGGATTCCTGCTGCATGAAGAATTGTTTTCCATCCTTTGGCTTTCAGTCTGTGAGTATCCTTCTGGGTTAGATGGGTTTCCTGTAAACAGCATGTGGTTGGATTTTGTTTCTTGATCCATTCTGCTAGTCTGTTTCTTTTGATTGGTGCATTGAGACCATTTACATTAATGGTTTTTACTGTTAAATGTTGGTTAATTGTAGGAATCTTATCTCTCTGCTGTTTCATCTTTATCTTTCTGTTCTGTTTAATTATTTGTTTTGCTTAGTGGTTTTTTCCTTTGTGTATCTAAACTGTCTTTCAATATTTTTTACAGGGTTGGTTTGGTGTTCATGAAGTTCTTCAGCTGTTCTTTGTCATGGAAGTATCGTATTTCACCATCTATTTTGAATGATAGTTTTGCAGGATATATCAGTCTATGTTGGAAATCATTTTGCTTTAGGATCTGGAATACTTCACTCCATGCTCTTCTTGACTTTATTGTTTGTGATGAGAAGTCTGTTGTGATTCTGATAGGTTTTCCTTTATAAGTGATCTGTCTTTTCTCTCTGACAGCTTTTAATAATCTATTCTTGTGTTGGATTTCTGGGATGGTGATTATTATATTCTGGGTGTAGTTTTATTTTGGTTATGACTATTTGGTGTTCTATATGCTTCACTGATCCTGATGTCAGTTTCTGATCTCATGCTTGGGAAATTTTCAGCTATTACTTCTCTAAATATCCTCCTGACATCCTTCATGTTGTCTCCCTCTCTTTCATTAATCCCTATCATTCTTATGTTATTCTTCTTTGCATCTTCTTGCAGTTGTTGAATTGTTGTTTCCTGGTTCCTTGTTATTTTCAAAAGATCTTTCCTTTCCTGTTCACTAGCTGCAATCCTGTCTTCAAGGTCTGAAATTCTATCTTCACTTTCATTAAGGCGGTTTTTACAACTTTCAGTGGAGTTTTTTATTTCCTGTATATCTCTGTGCATCTGCATTATGTATTCTCTTTGTTTCTTATATTGCTTGTCTAGGGATTCTTTTTGTTTAGTTCCTCCAATTTTTTATCTGTGTTTTCTTTAGATATATTTAGAATCTCTTTCATTTCTTTTATCATTTCTTCTTTTATCTGGGAAATTATTTCAAGTTTGAATTTCTTTAAAGCTTCCTGGAGTTGCTTGTCAACTTCAGTAGCTATTGTGTCTGATATATGAGGTGGATGGGATATATTTTCTTCTAAATACATTCCTCCTAGGGTTTCCTGAGATGGGCTGGAGGTTTGAGGTTGTAATTTGGTCTTTAGTTTTGTCATTTTCCTGTATTTCTGTGTTTCAAGTGTTATTTGAAAGCTTCCTCAGAATCTGTTAAAAATCCCCTTCTATATTTGCAGCTACTGAGACTCTGGCACCATGCTACCCCAAGCCCTTGGGCCTGCAGAACCAATGGCCCTCCTCTGCTTGTTCAGAACTCCGCAGTTCCAGACAAGCTGGGCCTCAGGGACACTGTGCACCCACCTGCCTCTTGAAAGCTCCACAGCTCTTCAATTGCAGCCGGGTTAGGGTACTCACCACAGGCCGCAGTGCCTCAGGAGCCTGTGGACCCTCCCTGCTTGCAGAGATATCCACAGTACTCCAGACACACAGAGAGGGCAATACAGGCACCCCAGATCCGTCCATCCCCTCCTCTGCACACAGATGGCTAGGCGTGGCAGCAAAACAGGCTGGGCTTGGGGGGGGGGGATAGTGTGGTCCTGCCCACCCGTCGGGAGCTCAGCAGACCTCCAAGTGTAGCCGGGATGGGGAGGCGGATGTAGTGGCCTCTAACCCACTGCTCCACTTCACTGCACCCAGAAGCCTGGGGAGTCCGGAACAGTCTGAGATTTGGGCAGTGTGTGCTGGGCACTCACCACAGGCCGAGGTGCCTCAGGAACCTGCGATCCCTCCCTGCTTGCAGAGATATTCAGTCCTCCAGACAAAGGAAGGGGCTTCTGCAGGCACTCCAGATCCGCCCAGCTCCTCCTCTGCACACCGATGGCCCTCTCCCTTATTCATTAAAAAATTATTTAATTTTAAAAAAAAGAAAAGAAAAATACACTTTCAATTATAAAATAAATAACTCCTGGAGATTTGGCATACAACATGGCAAATATAGTTAATAACACTGAACTTTAATTGAAATTTACTAGAACAGTAAACATAAAGTATTCTTACCATACCCACACATACATGCACATACCTTCATGTACACATTATACGAAATGATAACTAGACCCTTTCTTCTGCATGCCCAGTGCAGGTACAGAGAGCTAGAAGATCTGCCTCTGCCTGTCAGGTGCCACCAACAGAAGGCCTTTTCCTCTGCATGCCCAGTGCAGACAGAGATAGCCAGAAGATCTGTTTCTGTCTGCCAGGCACCACCGCTGGAAGGCCTTTCCTTCCACACATTCTGTGCAGGCTGTGGGGGACAGAGAGATCCTCCTCTGCCTGCTGTGCACTGATACCAAATGGCCACATTCTGCAGGTGGCCAGTATGGGTAGAGAGAACCAGCAGATATGCCTTTACCTTCAGGGAGCTGCCACTGGAAGGGGTCCCTCCTGCAGACAGCCAGCAGGAGCAGGGCATACCGCCAGGTAAGCCCTGTGCATCGTAAGTCATCATTGGAGGCCCCTGATTCCCTCAGGTAGCAATCACCCACTAGCAGAATCAGACAAACACATCCTTTTGTGTCTTCCACTATCACAGGAGTCCCAGTGTAGACACACAGGCTGAGAGAAGCAGCCCCACCTCCATGCACCCCTGATCATCTGTGAAGCCCCAGTGTAGCTGCATAAGTCTGGAGAAACCCACTCCATGCCCTGCTACTTGCCTGTAAATCTGGAATTAGAGGAATCCAGGTACCTGTCGCATTCCCCCAACAGTGCCTAGGGGCAGTCAACATGGGAAGTGCCTGGGGCTCCACAACCAGCTTGTTGGGAGGAACCCAGGAGAATGTTAAGATGAAGGAGCAAAAGGCAAACTCAGACCTTTAGTCCACACATAGTAAGTCTGGGAGATACAGTCATGGAAGAAAACAGAAGTCCCACATGTGAAATCTCTAAGAGGATAGCAACTGAAGTAAGAAAACAATTTCATGAGGTTGTATAAGCAGTAAAATCAGAAATAGTGTCTCAGATAAAATAAAAAAATCACAAAGATATGAAAGAATTGTTCAGCAGGTCTAAAGAAGACATAGACAAAAAAGAGGAGCATAGGAAAATGACAGAAACCTTGAAGGAATGTAGAAAGGAATTACAATGCATGAAACAGATTCAAAGAGAAATGCAGGAAATCAATCAAAAGCTGGCAAAACCACCTGAAAGAGTCTGAAGATAGACTTTCAAACTTGAAGATAGGATTGAAGCTTGTGATTGTGAAAGAAAGATTTCTTAAAAATAACATGGAATCAGGAAATAACAACAGATGCAAGATAATGCAAAGAAGCATAATTTAAGAGTGATGGGTATCAGTAAGAAGGCAGGGGTCAACACAAATGAAATTAAAAGGATATTCAGGACTTCCAGGAGAACATAGCAGATAGATAACAGCAGCTATCGAGTCTCTCTGAGATAGCCAGCTTAGAATCCAGGAATGGTGTGGTGTGGGGAGTCCTAAGCAAGGGGAGATATACTCTGCTGAACCAGGAATGAACTAAGCTGAAAGAAACCAACTGGAAATGCAATCCCAATGCTATGACTGGAACAGATAAAATCTCAGTGCCAAAACTGGAACCCGGGCCTCTGGAAACTGCAATTTGAATTTCCTGCCACTGCTGCTGCGTCTGACTGGCACAGCAAGAATAGTGATGCAAAAGTTCTGAGAGTGGGAATCAACTAATCGAGTTGAGAGCAGGACTGGCGGGGAGCCCTGCATCAACCTGCAGTGAGTGAGAGGAAAGGAGACCATTCCATAGACGAGGAGACTCCAACAGAGGACATTCTGGGACTAGGCAGACTAGCCAGAACAGGACACTGCAGTGACTTTAGTAGCATATCCCCTTCTCAAGCGGGATTGGTGGGGACTGCCTGACCTGGATGAAGTCACAGACTAAGACCCAGTAGGCTAGCCCAAACCAGGTCCCTGCACCTGGTGGTGCACCCTAGCAGTGAAACCTTCAGTAGGTTGACCTAGAAGGGCGGGCCCAGCATATGCTGCCCTGGTCTGTGTCTCCCTAGTACACTGCAGTGGGCAGGAACACCTAGCTGGCAGAGTCAAGCAAACTGTAACCCACAAAGAAAGAAATGGGGCCTCCTATATATGCCCATATGGAAGGAACAAATAATATGAGAAGAGGAGGCAACAAGAAAGGGTCCTCGGTCCCCAATCCTGAGAACACTGATCCAGGAAAGGTAAATGCAAAGGAGAATGAGGACAGAAAACATGCAATATCAGACACGGCACCAATAGACATAAAGCGATATCTCCAGAGCCTCATAGACAAGTTCAAAAGTGAAGTATTTAATGAAGTAAAGCAAGATATAAGTAGAATAGTTAGAGAAATGCTAGGCACGACCCAAGAAAAAACAGATGGTGCAATGGAAGAACAGAAAAAAAGGGAGAATTGTTTGATGGGGAAAATAGAGAAAACATAGAATATGTGAAGCAGGTTCAAAGAGATTACCAGGAAACTAAAAACTCTATTGAAAGCTGGCATAACAGCTTGAAAGAAACTAAGGATAGATTATATAAACTGGAGGACAGATTTGTAATGTGGGAGCATGAAATGAAAAACTTCTTAAAAATAACAAGGAAACAAATAGCAATAATACAAAGGCCAGAAGATGATAAGAGGATCTATAACTTAAGAATTAAGAATGTAAAGGAAGAAGTAGGGACACAAACAAATGAATTACAAAAGCTATTCACAGAAATAATCCAGGAGAATTTCCCTAATTTAGCAAAAGGTAAAGATACTCAGATGTATGAGGCATACAGGACCCCAAACAGAACTACACCCAGGCATATAATAATCAAAATTCCAGAAATCCAATATAAGAACAGAATATTAAAAGCTGTCAGAGACAAGAAACAGATCACTTACAAGGGAACACCCATCAGAATTACAGCAGACTTCTTGGCACAAACCATCAAATCACGAAGAGCATGGGGGGAAATAATTCAAGCTTTGAAAGACAATAACCTCCAGCAAAGATTGATATATCCTGCACAACTGTCCCTAGAAATTAATGGAGAAACAAGGTGCTTCCAGAATAAAGAAGAACTAGGGGAATTTGCAACCACCAATTCAACTCTACAGAGAATACTGCAGGACATTCTAAAAGAGAAAAATACCAAGATTCCAGAAATAGTGGCAGACAGGCCACAATCAATGGAGCAGAAAGCAAAATGAAGAAGAAAAACTGACAACTAATGACAGAAAAAGAGCTCAACAGAAATGTGGCAGAGAAGGTTGGATGGTAGGAATAGCTACTTTGGAGAAAACAAGACATCATAATAGCTAGTGCTGACTTAATATCATCTTGTTTTGAAGTCCCATCAAGCTTTTGTTCTTCTGTATCGATCAGTCTTAACATGTTTTATCTTATTGGATTTTATTATATATGATAATATAAACAAAAACTTTTATAGACAAGGAGATTATACAGAAACCATTGTTCATTTTCTGTTAGTTGGTTCTAAATACCCTGTAATACTGTCATTCTCGTGAATGGTTTTACATTGTCTTGATATGTTTGATGCTACAGTATATGAAGTTATACTCAAAGGTTTCAAGGAAAGAGACACTATGTGTCATGGTTTATGTCTGCGTTCCCCAGGCCTCATGAGTTTGCATTGTGCATTTGTGATGGTTCATTGCATAGTGCTTGGATTGATGGTGTCAGTGCTCCACCCACATAGGGGTGGAGCCAGGATGTAATGTAATGGCAAGAAGAAGGTGTGTCTTGCTCTTTGCTGGTTCTTGCTTGCTGTTTGCAGCCACCATGAACTGCGGCCCAGCCATGCCTGCCTGCCTTGGAGCCAGCTGAGTGTGGACTGAACCCTCCAAAAACTGTAAGAAATAAGCCTTTCCTTTCCAAAATTTGGGCTTCAGGTATTTTGTCTCAGCAACAAGTAAAAAGTAACTAAGACACTATGGTAACTACTTTTATGTCGGGATATCTTGTGAAACACTATTTTGTTTAAATGGTTATGTTCTGATCTGTGCTGTTTTGTTGTTATGTCCTCTTTTATCTCAATCTCCTTTTTTATTATTTACTTTTTTATCTTTTTAATTAAGGGAAAAAGTAAATAAAAAATAGCAAGATATATTATAGTAACCCACTTTGATTTCCTATTAACTTGATTTGAAACCCTGTATGGCTCTCACCATCTTGTTTTGACTGATTTTCCTCTATTCTGTTTTGCTTGATAGTACCAAGTTTGAGAGTATAGGCAACAACTGTGAAGACAATAAGGTTCACTATGATGCCCATTCTGGATTGACTACCATCTTCCCTTGAAGTCCTGTAATGTCTCCAATGTTTTGGTTTTATTGGTTTTGTTCTTTACTGTTTTGTTCAATTTTATTATAACTGATGATATAGGCAATTCTTTTTAAGATAGCAAGAGGCATTATGGTAATTGTTGATCACCTTGCATTCTGTTTTTTCAGTATGTATTATGTCCATCCTTTTGACTTGACTGACTCTGTTTTGTTATGTCACATTTGGTTTTATTTTCTTCAAAAAAAAGTAATAAGAACTGTGGGAGTAATAGAACCCAAAATGTGTAATTGTCATTATAAAAAAGAGAGGAAAAGAAAGTGCTCTAAAGGATATGACTGCATGTATATTTAAGTGTATAAGATAGATAACCATATTACTGAGTTTTGAAGGATCATTGAACAGAACTGTTTGCAGTCTCACTGTTTAAATGTCCACTTTAATGCTTTAATTTTGTAACTTGAACAACTATTTCTAAGATGACCATATGTAATCTATTAACTAGTGATTTCCTACTGCTTATTTTTTCTGAAATTCTATATAACTTGTACCCTTTTTCTGTTTTTTCTTTACCTCCTTAAATAAAATTTTAAAAAGAAAAAAAGGATATTCACAGAAGTAATAGAAGAAAACTTCCCAAACATGGGAAATGGACCTGGCATGCAGATAAATGAGACATATAAGACTCCAACTAGCCATAACCAAAGTAAATCAACACATATAATAATCAAGATCCCAGAAATTCAGCACAAGAACAGAATATTAAAAGCTGTTAGAGAAAAGAGACAGATCACCTGTAAAGGAAAACCAATCAGAATCACAGCAGCTTATCAACACAAACCATCAAGTCAAGGAGAGTCTGGAGTGAAGTGCTTCATACCCTGAAAGAAAACAACTTCCAACCCAGATTGATCTACTTAGCAAACTCTCCTTCAAAATTTGATGGAAAAATAAGATATTTTCATGATAAAGAACAACTGAAGGAATTCATGACTATCAAGCCAACCCTACAGAGAATATGATAGAGAGAGATAAAGCTGACAATGGTTCCAGGAAGAGCAGCAGAGGAGGATCACCAAACAAGACAGGCAACTGAATGAAGGGGAAAAGTGGAGATCCAACAGGAAGATAGCAGGGTGGCAAAGACAAAATGTATGCTGGTTGTAACCATTAATGTAGACAGCCTCAGGTTAGCAATAAAAAGAAACACAGGGAAAGTGGATCAAGAAACAAGATCCATTGATACACTGTACACAAGAAACACATTTAACTGGAAAGGAAATTCATAGACTGAAAATCAAAGGAGAGAAAACAAATGTTCCATGTGACCAGAGACCAAAAAAAAAAAAAAAAAACGAGAGTAATTTGCCCATTAACTGCAGAATGGATAAGAAAGATATGCTATTTTCATGCAATGGAAAGCTACCTAGCCATAAAGTAGAGAAATCTCAAGGCTTCTGTAGGTAAATAGACACAACTGGAGATCATGTTCATGGCTGAAACAGTTCAAACTCATACATGTGAACCCGAGGATAAGAAACAGACATCAACAGTAGCTATAGTAATGTCTCTTTTCTTTGAAATAGTTGAGCATACCTTTATACACAATAATATCCAACATAACAAAACACTATAAAACCATTCAAACACTATTTTGTTTGGGGATCCAAAGGCAAAATAGTTAATGTAAGACAAAAGGGGAGGAAACACCTGGGAGGGAAAGGTGGAAACTACTATCAATTTCTTATTGTCTTATCTTGAACTCTTACATTGTTTACACAATTTTGTTAGGTTTAGCTTTCTTTTGTCTTGTTTTGTTAGAGTTTATGCTGTCAGATAGTAGGGTACCTATTTTGAATATAATGGGATATATTATAGAAGTCAGGGTTTCCTATTATATTGCTTTGAAGCCTTATAATGCTTTCATTCATTTTTTGAGTGGTGTTATTCTGTTTTGTTTGATTTTATTATGTGTGATGTCCTAGTAGTCCCCTAGTAGTGAAAGTGAGAAATGGCAACCAAATATCTGAACAGCAGACTTGGAGATTACCTAATAAATACGTGTGATGGTATGAACAGCTATTTTGAAGAAAACATTATGGTAGTCATTGCTGATTTACAATCATCTTGTTTTGAAGTCCTACCATGTTTTTGTTTTTCTGTTTTGATTGGTTCTGTCCTATTGTGGTTTATTTGATTTTATTATGTGTGATGATATAGACAAAATTTTTCAGGAAAATGAGACATTATAGTAGCAATTGTTCATTTCTTATAATTTGGTTTTGAAGTCCTGTAATGCTTTTACTCTTTTGAATGGTTTTATAGTGTTTTGTTATGTTGGATATTATTGTGTATAAAGGTATGCTCAACTATTTCAAAGAAAAGAGACATTACTATAGCTACTGTTGATGTCTGGTTGTCTGGTTGTGAAGTGCTATGCTTCTTGCATTGTTCTGTTCTGATTTGCTTTGTTCTGTCCTCTTTGTTTTATTCTCTTTAAAATAAAAACGTTTTAAAAAATAATAACTAGGTATGTTAATGGGTGTGTTAATTAATTTCACTGGTAGTCATTTCATAATATATACATATATAAACTAAATCAAATCATTCATATTACACAGTTTGAATACATAAAATTCATATCTGTTAATTATACGTCAGTAAATCTGGAGGGAAATAGAAGCAAAGTAAAGTGGTTAAAGACATAGTCAAAAGTCAGAATGTGACTGAAAATAAGCAATATGTTTCCCGCAGGGCATTAGGGACATTGACGTGTACGATTAGGTGTAAGGAAGAGTAAAAGATCTAAAGCTGCTAGCATCCCCTAGTAGTGAAAGTGAGAAGTGGCAACCAAATATCTGAACAGCAGACTTGGAGACTACCTAATAAGTAAAGCGTGACTAAGGTTGGGTTCAAAGGTTATGACAGTACCTTTTATTAAAGCGCACAGTCATAAGGTCACAGAGAATAGTTTGCATCCAAAATTGGGAGGTTGAGACAAAAGTAACTCTGGGCAGTTAGTTGCCTTTTGGAGAAATAGAGGCAATAAAGGGGAACCCAGTCCTAGTCGTGTAGGTTTAAAGGGAAAACTGCATCCAAATATCAACACGTCTGACCTTGGGATGGCTTAAAAGAACCAACTACACCAAAGTATTGTCTGTCTTGGATGCCTAGACCGTCTAAGCAGGTGTTGCACTTTAAACCTGGAGGTTCAAGGAGATGGATGTAGGCCACTTGGGGAGGAAGACCAGTAATTCCTCCAGGTCCCTCGACAATTCTGTAGAGTTGATGGGTGCTTATTTCATTGCTCTTCTCCTCTCCACACACCAGAGATTTAGTGGCAGTCTCTCAGAAGAACCCCTAAGGGGAAGCCAAGAGTGTAAATATCCACAGCCTGTGAATGTGACAAGGCCAAGGAAGGGAGCATTCGGATTCAAGAATTAGGTTTTCTAATGATTTCTGCATGTTGTTTCTTGACACCACTCTGTCTTGTTTTCAGCTGATCACTGCATGAAACAGAAACCAAAAAAAGTGGAATGTATACCTGAGAAGAGACATATGTACTTTCCAGGTAAGAAAACAGCTCTGCGGATACATGGCAAGAAGGCATAAATATCATATCTCAGAGAGAGAGTTATTCATCACTGGACACTAACTAAGAGAGTTCATTTATGTTCATCTTAATTCCATTTCCTATATCCAGTCTCTAAAGTTGACTCTTTCTTCAACCAAGTCTTGTTCTGAGTCACATTTCCCTGACCTCAGGACATGACTTTCAGCTTCTGTGAAAGAAAGTTTGGAAGAGAATTTTCTCATACAAGTTCACCATTTCTCCCCTTCTCTAATTTTTTTCTCAGTGGCTTTGTATATTCAATTCAGTATGCTTAGGTAACTTTACTGCATCCATTGTAAATGATGTGGAAAGAAAAATTTCAACTTATAAGAAAGTTATTTATTTGGGCTGGGATATAGATCAATGGTAGGGAACTTACACAGCATATGCAAGGAGCTAGTCTTGCACAAAAAAAATAACCAAAAAATAATAACCAAAGAAAAGTTATTTATGAACTGCAAGTTAGATGAGATAGCTATCTCATTATCAAGACGTGTTAACCACTGAAAATCTTTAACCAGAAGATGACCTGAATCTGATTCATAGTCAGTGGTGCCCACAATTATTAGCTATAGAGTGAAAGGGATCAGTCACTTCCTGAACTCCTCTCCTGCTTATTCCTCCATCTCTTGCTTACTCTCTCTTCCCTTTGTATCTTTTTTATAAATATTTGTATGGGTTGAATTATTGTGTTCACTCAAAATTCATGTGAAAACTCTAGCCCTTAATGTGATGGTATTTGAAATCCAAGCCTTGGAAGGCAAATGGGTCATGAAGACTGACCCCTGCCGATGGTATTAGTGCCTTTATAATAAGAGTTTGCTCCCTCTATGCTCTCTCCCATGTGAAGATACAAGAGAAGATGGCCATCTGAAAACCAGGAAGCAAGTCCTCTCCAGATATCAGATCTGCTGGTACTGTGATCTTGAACTTCTTATCTTCCAGAACTGTGAGAAATAAACATGTATTGTTTAAACCACTCTGCTATTAAATTTTATTATAGTAGCCCCAACAGACTAAACTAGGTCTCAAATATATACAGAGAAGGGATTCTGTTCTGATCTCTCCATACTCAGGTGAAATAATAAATACCAGAGTAAAATGTCCAGTAAGAACTATTCCATGTGAGAACAAGATGGGACAATGCATGTTGCACATGACACAAAAACATTCCTTGACAATGTTTTTACCATAGGTGCATACCAGCCTGTGGAATGTGCAATGTGTCAAGACTCTCGGAATTCATCCTCTTGGGACTCTCTTCTAGACCTGAGGACCAGAAGCCACTCTTTGCCCTCTTTCTTATCATATACCTGGTGACCCTATTGGGCAATCTGATCATCATCTCGGCTATCCACTCTGATCCTCAACTCCAAAACCCTATGTATTTCTTCCTAAGCATTTTGTTCTTTGCAGATATTTGCTACACAACAGTCATAGTCCCTAAGATGCTGGCAAACTTCTTATCAGAGAAAAAGACCATTTCCTATGCTGAATGCCTGACACAGATGTATTTCTTCCTGGTCTTTGGAAACATAGACAGTTACCTCCTGGCAACTATGGCCATGGATCGCTATGTAGCAATTTGTAACCCTTTGCATTATGTCACTGTTATGAACCACAGGTGCTGTATGTTGCTGCTGGTCTTCTGCATCACTTTCTCTTCTCTCCACTCCCTCCTGCATGTCCTCCTGGCAAGTCAGCTCACTTTTTGTGCTTCAAATGTTATCCATCACTTTTTTTGTGATGTCAACCCTGTTCTGAAATTATCTCACTCCTCCACCTTTGTTAATGAAGTGGTGGCCATGACAGAAGGACTGGCCTCTGTGATGCTTCCATTTGTCTGCATCCTCATTTCTTACTTGAGAATCCTCATTGCTGTTCTCAAGATTCCTTCAGCCTCTGGAAAATGCAAAGCCTTCTCCACCTGCAGCTCTCATCTCACTGTGGTGAGCCTGTTTTATGGAAGCATTGGCTACGTTTATTTTCAGCCTTTGTCCAGATATACTGTCAAGAACAGAATTGCAACAGTCAACTACACAGTTCTAACATCAATGTTGAACCCCTTTATCTACAGTTTAAGAAACAAAGACATGAAGCAGGGTATAGAGAAGGTAATAAACAAGGTTAAGTATCAAATAGATAGATTTTTCTTCTACAAAAACCAATAAAGCCCAGGAACCCTAACAGCAAGTGGTACGAGTGTGTGTGATACGCAAGTAGGTTGTGTAGAGCTGTTCTCTCATCAATTGTAGCTGCCACTTGTCTGTCATTCAGTAAATGCACAGTAACCATCCCACAGTTTTTCTCCATCTCAGAAAATCATATTCCTTTGATTCATTCTATGTTTCTTTAGCAACTTTTGTATTTCAGTTTATGAATTCAGCCAAATTTGGTCATTTGAATTACTAAAGAATTTGGGGAAACATTTATATGAAATATTTTCAAAGATATTTGTGCATACATCCTGTTCTGTTTGATGCTGTCTAAAAAATTTAGCACGTGTGTGTGAGCATGTGGTCGCATGCAAGCACACTTTCCCCATCAATCTAAGAATTTCCTCAACAGAAGAATCTGTGTCCCTTCATCGCACCATGATAGAACTATGCCATGTTTTTCACAAGGATTCCATGTTCTGGGTTTCTGATTAAAAGCTTACCAACAAACACACCAACCACCCAACCATTAGTAAGATAGTTCTATGGCTCCCACATGTGTTTGAGTGTCTCTTCTTTCCTTTCCTGTGCCCAACTTGTTTACTCCCTGAACTTTTCCTGTGGGATCTTCTGTATAGAAAACGTTGTATTTTTACTTTCTATTTTATCTGCCTTTTTCTTTTCAGAATAAAGAAGCCTTCTTCCATATAATCAGAAATGCTTCCTGATGTTGTTAGAGATAGAATCAAAAAATCAGTGAATATGAACTACTAGTAAGGACTTTGGGTCCAGAAAGCCTGATATAAATGAGGCTCTCGATTTAGATAAAGCATAAACTATACAATTTAGTATAGCAGTCAGATTAATTATTTTATATATCTAGTATAGTGATTCTCTTCTGCCTAGTGTTTCTATTTTAATAGATGGAAATGTCTACATCAAATGCAATAATCTATCTTGCTGTTTTAGATAAGGAGTAAATGAATGAGATTAAAGTTTTAAATTGTAGAGTAAGATTCTGGTAATCCACTATACAGTCTCATGGTTATAGTAATAATAATGTGTTGCAAATTTTAAATAGTTAAAAACAGATTTCAAGGAATTGGGCATGGTGAAACACATCTGTAATCCCAGTATGCTGGAGGCTGAGGCAGGAGAACTGTGTAAGTTTGAGACCAACCTGGGCTACAAAGTGAATTCAAGGCCAGCCCAAACTGCACCAAGACCCTGTCTCAAAACAACAACAAAAAAAACTAGAGTTAAATATTCTCAATACAAAGAAATAGTATTTGAGAATTATTAACCTGACGATCATTCTGCAATGCTATATGCACTAAAACTTCACACTGTAGCCATAAATATGTACGATTATTTGTCAATTAAAAATAAAACATTTTAAAAGAAATTTTTAAATCTCTTTGAATTTGTCAAAATAATACCTAATGAGAGACAAGGAAGAATTGGGGTGGGGATATACTGTTTGAGTTCATTCCTTTATTACATGTGTGGTAACTTAATTATAGCTTCAGTGCCAACTCTGCTCAAATGATAAGGATCTCTAGATTGTCGTACTAGAAAAACTTATGTGTATATCTCTGAGTAAATGAAAAGAGTGGAAACCAATTACGCTATAGGCATGGCAGTGGGGAGCACTGGCATACATATAACCCCTCACAAGGAATGTAAACATTATGTACTACAAATAGGTACTAATAAAAATTTTTAATTAAAAAATCTTAAAAGGAGTATGGATACACACAACAAGTGAATTTTCACTGTTGTCACAAGCCTCGGTGATTTTATATGCAGTGGAACTTCATTTCCATAGTTTTTAATTTTTACCTTCAAGTCTTCAGTCTACTTAATTATAGCCCAATTTCTAGTTTTTTTAAAATCTAACCCAGTGTATTGGTGATTTATGTTATAATTTAACCCCCTTCATTCATTTCACACCTCTTACAGCTATCATTTCTCTCTCTAAGTCCTAGTTTGAAACTCTAAGAACTTCTGCAACTTCCTCCAGTCCATAAAGCCAGGGCGGTTAGGTTGGTTTGGGTTGAACTGGGTTGGGTCAGAATGGGTTGGATTGGTCTCATTTGGTTTGGTTTGGTTTGGTTTGGTTTGGTTTGGTTTGGTTCTTTAGCCATCTTGCTTTTGGCTCTATGCTACGATTTTGTTCCTTGTTCCATTTATGAAGAATGACTGGTGCTTGCTTTGAAGATTGGAAGCTGGCTTCCATTACTGTCCGTACCTCTAATGGTTACCTAGTGGCAACATCATTCATTGCCATTATGAGATGGTTCATGTCTGTCTCTTTGATGTGCATCTCCTCTCTTCCGTGCATCAGCCTGGCTCTTGTCTCTCTCACTCTTCTAATTTGAATGAGCCTTACTAAATGATTGAGAAACTTTTGGGTTCTCTTTAGGAAAGGACTTGAGGCAATCATTTTATCACTCCTTCTAATCCCAGGACCTTCATATGTGGAAGAGAGCACATATCCAATAGACTCCCAGACTCACATATTTAAAGGGTCTTCAGGAGCCCCTTGGGCTTTAGTTAAGTTTGTTTATTCACTCTGATTTCTCTTTTAACTTCCCAGGGTTTTATGTGGATTCTCAGTACTAATTAATAAAAACTAGGAATTTGATGTCTTTGATAATTAACATATCTATATGGACTGACTTGAGTCTTCTCAAACTTTTTCAACTTAATTTTTTAATTCAATAAATATAATTAAATTATAATTTGTTATCCACATTCATCATATGGAATTTGCACCTGTACATAATGTATTTTAATTCTTCTTTTTTTCCCCATTCCCCTTCCTTCAATCTTCCTTCTCTTCCCCATTTACCAAAGCTTTGTTTCCATTCTTTTCTTCCATTCTCTTTTTTCCTTTTCCCTTCCTCTCCCCCCTCCTTGCTCCCCTTCCCATTTGAATACATTCTTCCTACTTCCACACATCTGTCCTCTATCCTCTATCACACTCCTCCCCCATATCTATCCTCTATCATGCTCTTTATTTACCTTTTGAGGTTCTCATACAAGAGAAAACAATGTGATATTTAAACTTATATGTCTAATTTATTTCAAGATTATATTGTCAAGTTTTCTGATCTATTCATTTTGAAAGGCCTTGCTTTCAAAAACTAGTCTCTTACATGGCAATTCTCTCCAGTTTCCAGTATTTCAGAACTAGAAAAATGTCACAACTTTATTTCATCCAGATATATCCAACTACTCTAATATCATTTGTTATCAATAATTTAAAATGTTATATTATTTATATACATTAGTCTCTTTCCAAATCTTTATTTCATTTCATTAGTACATTCATCTATTCCTATACCATTTCAACAGCTGTATTTTTAAACATTTGTAGGGAAAGCCCCTAGTTGCTGCTATTTTTCAGATTTTCATGGTCATTTTAAAATGACTTTTTTGCAAAAGAAAATTTAATATCAGTAATTCAGTTCAATGAAATTTTTGAGATTTTTATTGTATACATTTAAGTTGTACAACACAATGTTTGGATATGCGTGTACACAGTGAAATGATTATTAGAACCAAGCAAATTAACATCATGTCAGCTGGCTTTCCTACTGTACTAAACCTACCTAAAAATCTAACATTTCTAGCAAACAATACACTTGTTAAAAATTGAAGTCATGTGCATTCTGACAGTATTGAATTTCCTTACACAAGAACATGAAATATTCCCCAAAAGATATTTAGGCCTCTTTTTAGTTGATCAAGAAACATTTACTTTATCCCTATAAACCTTCCACAATATTTTGCTCTTCTAACAAATCTTATTTATATCTGTGAATGTCTCTCTTTGCAAATCACCCCTCATAAAGCAAATTTGTATCTCCACACCATCCTGGCATTCTTCCTCCTGTCAAGCTTCAATTTATCGAACTTCCCAGAATACATGGCTTCAAAATCTGGATGTGACTCTCCAACTGGAGCCTACACTACACAGAGTAAAGCTGGATAATCATTTCCTTTATAAATTCAAGGGAATTTGTTAATGCAACCCACTGCCCTGCTGATTTATATGATTCTGGGGGTTCACTAAGGACCTCAAAGTTCATCCCCTTCCCACCAAAAAAAAAGATTCAAGCTAAGATTCTAACAGTTTTTCAAGGTGTTGCCCCAAATAAATGAATATAAAACTCCCCTTGTAACTTTCTCCCCCATCTTCTATTTAACCCCCTACCCCATATCCAGGGAGAGATGAGGATTTGCTTTTACTAGTGGGCCACAATTTATTCTGGTTGGGGTAAAAGGTCATTTCTTGAACATGGTTTTCACTTCTAACCAAAAAAGACATAAACTGTTCCTAAACAAGACGAGTCCAGCCACAGAGCGGGGATGAAGTTTCTGAAGTCCGACTATCTGGGCTTGCATCCTGGCTTCAACAGTGACCAGCTCTGTGCCACTGGGCATGTTCCTGTACTTCACCCCTCAGGGCTCTATTTGGTTTTATATGTAGTTTTGTTTGTCTGTTTGTTTTATGCATGGCTTTTCGCTTATAATTTATAACCTGACTGCTCTCCACAAAAGGTTGATGTGGCTTGAAATAAGAAACACAAAGAGATGCAGATGACTCCAAGATGACTCTTAATACCAACACTTTGTTTTGAGGCAAAGTCTTGCTAGGTAGTTCTGTCCTTGTGCTCACTATGTACCCCAGGCTGGCCTTGAACTTACGGCGATCCTCCTGCCTCAGCCTTCAGAGTGCTGAGATTACAGGCATGCACCACTACAGCCAGTAATGCTTCATTTTTAAATGCTTATAATAAAGTATGGCTAGAAATCCATAGAAAGCTGATGGCTTTTTATTTTCATGAACTTATTTGCCACTTAATGGCTACTGACACTTACTGATCTCAAAATTTCTAGTATTTATGTCATAAATGTGTAAATTTTGTTATAAATAAGAGAGGGGGAAAAAGTGCTCTAAAGAATACAACTGCAAATGTGTTTAGGGGTGTTAAATAGATGACCATATTAATATTTTTGGTT